AAAAAAAGAATTCACTCTATATCCTACCTAACTTAGCTTTTAAAGCTAAGTAAGACAACCAATGTATTATTGGTGGAACAGAGTATTTCATAAATGAAACATACACAATAAGACACTCCAGGAGTAATTCACACATATGCAGATAAATTTTTTTTCAATTTTTGTGGCATTAAGGATTAAACCCAGGGAGATAGCTCAGTGGAATAAGCATTGCCTGGCAAGAGCAGGATCTTGAGTTCAATCCCTGGTACCACAAAAAAAAAAAAAAAAAGGAAAATCTACTGATGTGTGTAACATGAAAAAAGTCTCAAAAATATATTGAATAAAAGAATTGTATGATTCTACTTACATAAAATTCTAGGGTAGGCAAAAGCAGCCTATGGTGATAGAAATCTAATCATGACATGAAAGAATATGACAACTTTCTAAAGTAATGTTTTGTGTCTTGAAATACATACAAAATTGATTAGTAAGTGGTACACTTAAAAATTTAAGCACTTGAGCTCCCTCTTTCAAGGGTCCTTGCAACCTCCAGTCATCCTCTCATGCTGGCAATAAAGGTTTTCTTTCTACCTCTGGTTGTTGGGCGGGGCTCTATAGAACAGAATGGGGGGAGATATCTGACACCCTGCTGCAGGCTTCTGTCCAGGTCACTGACAGCACCCAGCACAATGCAGAGCATGCATACCAGAGAAAAGTCACTAAGAAGATGCTGTGTGCAGGCATCCTGGGTGGTGGTGTGGACACCTTCCACGGTGACAGTGGTGGGCCCCTGATGTACCATTCTGAGAAGTGTCAGGTGGTAGACATTGTGAGCCGGGGCCATGGGGTTGCCCAAGTACCCCAAGAGTATACACCAAGGTTGCATCTTATCTCAACTGCATCTACAAGGGCTGGCGAGATAGCTCGGCAGACTAAGCACCTGCTTAGGCAAGCACAGGGACTGGGTTCGATCCCCCACACCACATGCCACACCAGCCCTGCCCCCAGCTGAGTCCAGGCATAGTGGTACAGGTCTGTAATCCCAGTGCTGGGGAGGCTGAAAACAGGAGGATCACTACCAGTCTGAGCTGCGTAAAGAGATTCTGTAACAAGAACCATTTAAAAAAAAGAAAAAGAAAGAAAGAAGAAAAAGAGAAAAAAAGGAAAGGAAGGAATCCCAACTAGAAATGTAACTCAGCACTTAATAATGCCCTATGATCTCTAGCATCCAAAAAAGTCACAAATCCTTACCAACTGACTAAATAAAATTAGACTAAGAAAACAATGAATAAGACCACTTGGATCTTTAGTACCATTAGCCATAATGGAGAGATAGAAGAGAGTGGATATGTTTGAGAAAAGAGCTCAGTAGTTACACATATAATCTTCCCACTCAGTATGAACACATTAATCCAATTCCCACCATTTTTGGAAGCAGTTCTGGTGTGTCTTTACAAGACGTGATCGAAACTACAGTGAATGCTTGTGCCAAGTGCAACCCAGGCTTACTAAAATATTATGGGGCTGGGGAGATAGCTCAGAAGGGCTGGGGAGACAGCTCAGTAGAATAAGCGCTTGCCTGGCAAGTGCAGGGTCCTGAGTTCAATCCCTGGTACCACAAAAAATTATGTGTGTCCTTATCCACCTTGTTTGTCAGATCTTGCACCATGTAACTTCTGGCTCTTCCTCAAAGTCAAAATGACCAAGAAAGGTAAATGTTTTGAATATATCAGGGAAATCAATAGGGGCCAGGGAGATGGCTCAGTGGAATAAGCGCTTCCCTGCCAAGCGCAAGGGCCTGAGTTCAATCCCCGGTTCCGGAAAAAAAAAAAAAAAAAAAAAATTAGGGAAATCAAGGCAGCCACAACAGGACAACTAAAGACACTCATGAAAGAGGACTTCCAGAACTGGCAGTGTGTCTTTTACTGTAATAAATTTTTAAAAAGTTAAACATTTACTATCTATCTCACTTTGTACATAAGTGAAACTCGCCTTTTGGCTCTCTGAGCAGCACCATCGCGGTAGGCAAGAACAAGCGCCTTACGAAAGGCGGCAAAAAAGGAGCCAAGAAGAAAGTGGTTGACCCATTTTCTAAAAAAGACTGGTATGATGTGAAGGTGCCAGCTATGTTCAACATAAGAAATATTGGAAAAACACTCGTCACCAGAACCCAAGGAACCAAAATTGCATCTGATGGGCTCAAAGGTCGTGTGTTTGAAGTGAGCCTTGCTGACCTGCAGAATGATGAAGTTGCCTTTAGAAAATTCAAGCTAATTACTGAAGATGTTCAGGGCAAAAACTGCCTAACTACCATGGCATGGACCTCACCAGGGACAAAATGTGTTCCATGGTCAAAAAATGATAGACCATGACCGAAGCTCATGTTGATGTCAAGACTACCGATGGTTATTTGCTTCGACTGTTCTGTGTTGGCTTTACTAAAAAATGCAACCATCAGATACAGAAGACCTCTTACGCTCAGCACCAACAGGTCGGCCAGATCCAGAAGAAGATGATGGAAATCATGACCGGGAGGTACAGACAAATGACTTAAAGGAAGTGGTCAATAAACTGATTCCATACAGTATTGAGAAAGACATAGCAAAGGCTTGCCAATCTATCTACCCTCTTCATGTCTTCGTCAGAAAAGTAAAAACGCTGAAGAAGCCCAAGTTTGAATTGGGAAAACTCATGGAGCTTCATGGTGAAGGTAGCAGCTCTGGAAAGGCTACTGGGAATGAGACTGGAGCGCAAGTTGAACGAGCTGATGGATATGGACCACCAGTGCAAGAGTCCGTTTAAGATCCAGATTTTTAATAGTGATAAATAAAGTCCTATTTGTGATGGCAAAAAACTGAGCTCAATCCCCGGTTCCGCACACAAAAAAACAAAAAAAAAAAAAAAAAAAAAAAAGAAACATTCATCTCATTATAGATGGCTCTTGGCTTACAATATGGTTATGACCCAACAAACCCATCATGAGTGGAGAATATCCTACATTAGAAAAGCATTTATTTATTTATTTAGCGGTACTGGGGATTGAACTCAGTACCTTGCACTTGCCAGGCGAAAAGCATTTAATAAACCTATACTACCACACACCGTAGATTAACAGCCCAGCCTAGAGATGGGGTTTTTACCCCCTGATCAAAACTACAGCTCACTACTGCTGCCGAGGCCAAGCACAAGACAGTCCTACTGCATATTCCTTGCCCATGAAAACATAAAAATTTGAAGTACAGTTTCTACTGAATTTGAATCACTTTCACATCACCAGAGATCTCAAAAGTCTTAAGTTCAACCATCATAAATCAGGGACCATCTTCTGTTAAGGGTAGAAATAATGACATGTAGAATCAAGTAAGATGTCAATGCTAAGTGAGCAATCAAGGAAATTTTGAATATGGAATGAGAACAGAAGGAAAACAACACAGTACCCAGGTAATAAGAAAAACAGAGAAGTAGAATAACTAGTGTGATATCACAGAAAACAAGTTTTAACAGTAAAATGTCACCATATTTGAAGCAAAATCATGAAATACCATACATTTAAAGCTCTAATGACACAAAGATATTATATAACTCAAAATTTGGCTGGACATGGTGGCACAAGCCTGTAACCCCAACTCTTGGGAGGCTTTAGTAGGGGGACTGCAAATGCAAGACTAGCCTGGACTACATGGAGACTATGTCTCAAAAAACAAAAACCAAATAAGACAACAGAAGACAAAACTAACCAACAAACAAAAAAAATCTCAGACAAAACCAATCCCCCCATGCACACACAAAAAACAAAGAAAACAAATGCAAACCTGTCCCCCAGAATCCTAATTTGCCTATCTCAGTAGAATATTTGGTCAGATTAAAGGTACAAATTGACTCTTTAAAATAAATTTTTTAAAAAAGTTTAAAAAAAAAAAAAAGACAACAAAAATTTAAGGTTTAACAGCAAGTGGTAATATGCAATCTTATGTTCAATCTTACATAAGTATATCTGTTGATCTGAGCAACAGATTTGATGATAAAAATAGATAATGTATCAACCATTGTTAATCAGTTACTCTTGTTTGAAAATCTGTAACATCTGTATTGTTGTATGTTGCCCTGTTTCTGATTTTGTTCTTTTGTTTTTACCTTTCAAAATTAAATAAAATTAAAAATTAAAAAGATAAATTGATTTTTTTCCTCTTTTTAATTTTCTGACCAATTTTGCATACATTTGTTTACTTTAAAACAAGGCTTTAAAAAAATTAAAAATCAACCAATCAGGGCTTATTTCTGCCAGCCAGATAGCTCAGCAGACTAAAGCACCTGCTTAGGCAAGCACAGGGACTGTGGTTCAGCAACACATACTGTACCAGCCACACCCCCAGGGTGGGCTGAGCCTGCCAGAGTCCAGATTGGATCCTTATCATTGGAAAAAAAAATAAAAAAAATCACTCTTGGCTGAGGAGATAGCTTAGCAGCCTAAGCACCTGCCTGGCAAGCCCAAGGTTCTGAGTTTGATCCCAGTACCAAAAAAAAAAAAAAAAAAA